TTTTTTTTTTTTTTTTTTTGCTGAGGTGTCTTTGGCCCACTTTCTAGAGGAAATGGTTGTTTTACTATTTTTTTATTAAGCTTATTGGTACATTTTAGATATACAGCACAGTTACATTCATCATTGACATCTTATACCTTTACATGGTTTATCTTGGTTATTCTTTTCCCCATTCTCCTGCCCCCCCCTTCATCCCTTCACCACTTTCCAATTTACAAACACTGTTTCCACTTTTTCCTTTTCTCACATTTTTTCTTTTCCCTTCTTTCCTTTCCCCTACCCTTTCCACTTCCCCTACTCTTTTTTTTTTAATTGAATTTATTGGTACATTTTAGGTATACAGTACAGTTACATTCGTTGCTGGGATCTTGTACCTTTACATGCCAGGTCTTGGTTCTCATTTTTTCCCCTTGTCACTTCCCCTACTCTTTTAGACCTTTTCTTCCTATTTCACATTATCAATTATACAATTTGAACCTTACTTGGTTGTTTTATTGAGTCTAAATGTTCTTTGTATATTTCAGATAATGTGCAACCACAATTTCAGAGTGCTGATGTATTGTTTGGGGGGGGTACTGGGGATTGAACTCGGTTCCTTGCGCTTACACAGAGTGCTAATGTAAATGAAATTGTTTTTAATTTCACTTTCCTCTTATTCACTGTTGGTATTTAAGAATGTTTGACTTTTATGTGTTAACCTTTTACCTTGCAACTTTTTTTTTTGTTTTTTTGTACTGGGGATCGAACTCTGAACCTTGTGCTTTACAGGCAAGCAGCAGAACCACTGAGCTAAGTCCCTGGCCCGCAGCATTGTTATAACTGCTTCTTCTTTCCCTGAGTTTTTTTTTTTGTTGTTGTTGTTGATTCTTTCAGACTTTCATTATAAACAATGAAGTTATCATTATTTCTTCTTCGCCAATCTACATCTTTTATATCCTTTTCCTGCTTTATGGCATTATACGGTAGTGTTAAAAAGCAGTTGAGAGTGGATGTTTGACTTGTTCCTGATCTAAGTGAGAAAGTTGCAAATTTCTTGCCATTGAGTATGAGACAAGAGCTTTGTTTTTCATAATTTTGGTTTTTTTTTTTTTGGGGGGGGAGGTGGTACCAGAGATTGAACCCAGGGTCTTGCACATGCCAAATAAGCGCTCTATGCTTCATCCCTAACCCAGCAGCAGGTTATTTGCTTTAGTACATTTTCTTTACCTAGAGAAAGCTCTCTATTTATATTTCCCTGGAGTTTTTATCATGAAAAGGTGTAGGATTTGTTACCCTTTTTCTGTACCTATTGATATGATCATTTGATTTTTTTTTCAGCTTTGAGTTTATTGGTACATTTTAGGGATACAGTACAGTTACATTCA